TTCTCGAATGAGAGAAAATGGCTTCAAGAAAGATCTTCGGGCACTTCCTGCACGCAAATTTTTTCATGTTTGTATTATTAATAAGTAATCATACGGTTTCTCTTGTTCAATTTGGAGTTAATTTGTACTTGTGAGTTTTTCAGAAAGCTGAAATTGCACTCGCCGAAACGGCTCGTGCAATTTCAGCTTTTTGAAAAACTCACTCGTGCAAATTAATTCCAAATTGAATTCGAAACCGTATGATTACCTATACTAACACTGGCAAATGGTAACTACGAAAAAATTCACCTCGCGCCGCCATGTTTTCGCGGTTTATCTCACCTCGGCTAGCCGAGATAGCCCGGCACGAAACGTTTACACGGTAAAAAGCTATCCCGCCTTGCCGGGTGCCCTGGGCAAGAAGACAGGGTGCCCGGGTTGGCGGGCTACCCTATCTAGCATGTAAACGCTTCAATGCGTTTTCTAAAGAAACTTATGAGAAGTCAGCCCTCCCAGGGTAGCTCGGTTAGCCGGGTAGCCCGGTTAGTCGGGGCACCCTCCCTCCTTGTAAACAGGCCCTAAGTGTCGCCAACAGTTCAAATGCCTTCCCTGGAAAGTATTTTGTCCAGTACAAGTTAATTTACCGCAGGCTATAATCTATTCATCGCTAGTTCAACTTCATTTGCAGATCGTTATCTGACATTCGATCAAACTTAGTTTTCCATCGAGCCATTCGACCGCCACCAAAGTAGATCAAACATGCAAAGTACGCGCGTGAACGCACTGCTCTAATCTTTGATTACTACTAGTTTATTAATAATTCATTGTTTGGGTTCACAAATATTAAACAATTAGTAACCGAAAGGGATGTAAACTGCGCAGGTTATCGAACCTCAGCCAGTTGCTACGGTGAGGATAATAATAGTCTTAGGATTTTAATACTTACCGAACCTTAACACCTGACGGCACAAGTCGTTTTAAATTCCAGCAGTGAAGGATATCAAATGTTCAAATGTCAGTGTAGTAATGCTGTTAATGCTAGTATGTTGGCTGGAGAGTGTAGCTAGCTTAACCAGGCCTAAACTTGATACGAAACTTGAGTAGAGCAAAATTAATGATCAACCGATCAAAAGCTACAGCTACTGACCAGTTATTCACTGATAATTAACACTTAATTACTGGTTCCTCGGGAAACCAGTTATTTTTGTTTTCCAAGTATCTTGGTTAGAGGGAAACAAAACTAACAGGTTTTCCGGGGGGGGGGCAGTCATTTAGTCAATTGTTATAAAGCACAACGAGGACGAGAAGTCGTAGAGGCTGTCGTAGAGGTGGCGCACAACTTTGAGGTGTTCGTCTGTCAAGTGCCGTCAACATTCGCGGATAACATTGCACCGTTACCCTCTGTCGTCATAGATTTACGATGTTACTCGCTCAGAGACGTTTGGTGGAAACAGTTTTATAGTTAAATATGACATGTCATGTGGCCTCGAAAAATCATGAGAGCCCGCGCTATTGGGGAGAAAATTCCAGCTATATAACAAGTGCCCTTATGTTCTACCATACCATCGCTGCATGGCATTTTGGGAATAAAATGTCAAAAGTTCGCATACTAATGCAGGAATGCCTCAAGAAAAAAAGTTTCAGAATTACAATCAACTTTGAGACGGGAGAATAAATGTGTCAAAGAAAAGATTAGTTCTTTCTAAACGCTTATGAAGACAAATTGTGGCACTGACAATTTTTCCCTATGATGTGGTTTTGTATGCGAGGCTCTCAAACTTGTTTAATAAAATGGTGCGTCAAATGACGATTTTAACTGAATTTGGTTATTTGCATATTTCTTTGAAATAAAAGTATATTTTGCAAAAAAACTATCCTGTAGTTTTTGTCATGCCCTAGCCTACCTACCGTAAAAATATGAGCGAAATCGAATTTTCGACCATTGCCGAGTTATTTTCCATATTTATGGACAGGGACTCTTAAGATAATCTGGAAAATGAAAATGTATGTAAATACAAAACGGGTTGATAAAGTTGCCATGGAAAATGACCACCATGGGCTGGACTGTTATAGCAAATGCCCCACCCACGGGGGCAACAGTTGCCAAATGCCTGAAAGTGGGTACCCAGCTGCGAGGCTGAGATTCCCTTTTCTGTCTCGCTAAGGGTTACGGAGGCGGGATGAAGGGCCTTAGAATTGACAGAGCCAATTTAACAAGGAATAACACCCAGAAGGCAATTTGTGGTTTGTTTTCAGCGCTGACGGGCTTACCTATAGTGTTTATTGTTTCAACAGCGATTAAGCTGGTTTGTAATTTTCGTACCATCGCTGGAGGTCTCTTGGTCGTTACCAGTGGTATGGCCTTACGCAGCTGCTCCAGTCTTGATGAATTCGTGGAGGCCTTCAGCAAAGTTGTTTTGGTTTCATATTCCAAACTAGCTGAGATCAGCGAAGGCTCTCTCTGCTTCACAGTGCAAGCGGAGACATCCTCAGCTTTGAAGGAATTGTGGGACATATACAAAGATGGAACATTACAGAATCGCCTTCAAGAATTCCTAGTCACTGATGAAATCAAACAGTTGGCAAGCGGGGAGGATGTTGCGGTGACTGTGTATATTGATGAACAGGAGTATAAGGCAGCCTACCTTGATCTAATGCTTCTACAAAAAGAAGGTAAAGTGTTAAAACATATTAACTTTGTGTCTTCGCTATCAGCCACATGGAAATATTCAGACAAAAATAAGCTCAGTCTAGTTTGTGGGAAAATAAATGGCATACCCACTGGGAATTTTTAAAGAAATGTGTATAAATATGTGCGCTTGTATATATTTTATGCATAGGGGGGTTTGCAGAGAGGGGAGACATAATGAGGGGAGGGGATAGGAGAGAAAATTGCATTGTTTTGTACTGGACATTTGATTGGCTGGATTTGAAAATGTTTGAATCTATTGTTTCTGTTCTGCCACCTGATTGGTTTTCATTGTCTGGGTGGCCTCGGTTTCAATAAATGCACTGACATAACAGAATAGTGACTTAATATTCCTACCATGATCCATGCATATAATTTGTTGATGGAAACCTATAATCAGATCGGTAGTCATGTGTCTTTCTTCCACGACATGCAAGTATTCATTATTCCGGGGTGAACGATTTTGCTGTGATGTTGCCAAGGTCGATCAACTGCAAGAGTCTGGTCAGGTGAACAAGGAAGAACCTATTTGATAACTTTCCATTTAACTTCTTTTAGAGTCTGATGCAACAGAAGAGGAACAACTTGGAGCTCGAGGAAGAAGTCGCAGGAACTCGGACTCTTTTCTTGGCTTCAAGCAAAGTGAGGATGATGTGACTCTGATGAAACTGGAACACGCGGAAAACAAATGGGCATTCGAAAGGCAAAGAAGGCAATTTTTAGAAGAAGAAAACAAGAAACTAAGAACGGAGATTGCAGTCGCAGGAAATGTACAGAGGAGATCGTTTTGGCAACAGGAGGAGAGTGGTAAGTGTGAGATTTATATTTTCATATTTATTTATACTTCAGTCTGTTTCTGGAGTCTACATAGCCAGAAAAGCCTGTGGCAGCACTGTGAAATATATATATTTTTTCATTGTGACATGGTGAAATGAGAGAATTCATTTTATGTGGTGTTGACCGTAGCAAGAGTGTGGTAGTCAAGTAGTCATTATTTTTCTTTATTGTGACACGATGGAAGTTAATAAATTCCCTTCCACCAAAATTTAAAAAGAAAATCTAGCCTACTTATGACATACGAAATGAGATTCGTTTTATGTTGTGTTGACCTTAACAAGAATGTGATAGCAAGATTTTACAGCCGTAATTTAATTTGTTTTTCATTGATTGTCAAGATAAAGTATAAAATTGCTCTTTAATAGTCCCATATACATGTACTACCCAGGGGCAGGGGGACTCCCATAAAAAAAGGGCTTGATGATCATCATACCTTTTAGGGGTTAAGGTCATTCCCCAGTATTGCATTGAGCATCCCTACTGCGCATAATTTCACGCGTGATTAGCGCGCGCACATTAAAAATGGCAGCTTTTTCTTTACAGCTGGACCTCGCCATAGAGGTAAATCGTCATTTTCTCGCAAACGAGTATGGTGACCTATCATTTTTTTCTGTTGTTTTGAATTGAGTAATAAATTTCTCTTTGTAAAATAAATATGGACCGATTCTCAGAGTAGAACAAAAAGCAATCGTCGGAAATGTGAATTTAGCAAGCGATCGTAACTACAATCATGGTTCTATTATAAGGATTTATATGGGTGTAAACAAGGTGCTTTTGCTCCTAAACGAACATGGCGACCCCTCATTTTTATTTCAAAATTTAAGTTCCTATAATATAAACAATCAATAGGCAAAGTTTCACAATAATCTCAGTGCAGGTTCTATTTCAGCGGAATGACCTTAAAAATGCAGTTTTGGTACCTCTTAGGGTGTTCTGTCTGGCAAAAGGTCCATAGTAGTAGCTTTCGTGGTGCGTTTTAGGCTATTGAGCCGAAAAAAATATGACAAGGACTAATGTTTTGTTTCAGAATTGGTATACCTCTTAGGGGTGAAGAACATTTCATGCCACGCCCACGAAACAGGATCTTGGTTTTTCCAAATTTCCAAGGAACACCCCCGTCCTTTTTATTTGGGAGTCCCACCCCCGGGATCTTCTCTTTATTTGGTTGTCTTTGTTACATGTAATATTGTAACTAAGTGATGGACAAGACAGGAAGTTTGCGTTCTCCCGATGACTACAGTCCGTTGTCACATTGTTCCCTCACAAAATGGCTCAACCAATCAACCATATTTCATCTTATTTTTTATATTTATTTCAAGGCACCTTTTCCTGTTCTTTGGGAAGTACTCATTTTTTAATTGATTGGAGGGGGCTGTCATGGACTGAGAAGCCTGTTTTCTGGTATGGGCACGCCCATGACGGTTCTGTCTTCGTGTACCGGTACACAAGAACCGACACAAAAGAAAGGAAGACTCCTAGACAAAGGCAATACAATGGTTATTGCCTCGATGTGTCGGTACAAGAGGACTTGTCCTTACATTACCTTTTCCTTACATTACGATACGTTTGTTGTAAGTCGCTGTTGGACATAGAAGATTAATTTTACAACAAAACAGTCAATCATCAGTAAGTTTTAACAAGGTCTTTTCACTGTCCACTTGTGTATAACAGCTGAAGAAACTGAAGGCCTTGAAATACCTAGAGAAAGGCATGGAAGAAATTCTGATTCTAGGTTGTATTGCAAGGCGAGGGATGAGGCGACTGCACAGAGTGAAAACGGAGCAGAAACAAAACATCTGGACTCCGAGAAATATGATTTCGTTCAGAGCTATCTACAGAACATCCAAGAGACACACAGTATGACAACAGAGACGACTGACAGTGGAATAAGAACACATGGTGAACCATCTGATCTTGAAACGCAAGACATCTCTGGTAACTATAATTTATTAATAATTGATTGTTTGGGCTCACAAATATTAAACAGTTATTAACTAAAAGGGATGGAAACAGCGCAGGTTATCGAGCCTCGGCGAGTTGCTACAGTGAGGATAATAATTATATTTCACAGACTCCGTTCGAAATAATGTACGAGACAACAAATGGTAGGAATTTCCCGGTTAGTGCTTCAAACCACTTTTTAACGCCAGAAGAAGGACGAACCCCCCTCAACAGACAATAGAAATGGCCTGGGTATACCCACAAGACCCTGGGACAAGATCTGGTGGTTCCATGACGCTTCGAGCCTTTTTGACGCCATGGAATAGACAGGCAAAAGAAAGACCCCATAGAAGAGAGGGAAGAAGGGTGGGAAGCTCATATATTTTTCACTTCATCTGTTCATATCATTTGAATTATAAATTCAGGCGCTTCACGGCCCTAGTATAATTCTCATTGTCTTGGATTGTAATACGTCTAGGAATACTTGCTAAGCCTTAAAACGCCTGATGTCGCACGTTCTTTTAAATTCTAGCGATGAAACTTATGAAATGTTGTGCTGTCAGTGTAGTAATGCTGTTAATGCTAGTATGTTGGCTGGAGAGTGTAGCTAGCCTAACCAGGCCTAAAGTTGATGCGAAATTTGAGTAGAGCAAAATTAGTGGTCAACCGATTAAAAGCTGCAGCTACTGGCCAGTTAGTAGAAGCGGTTGTTGGTCAACATCCGGGGCTGACATTGCACCGTTACCCTCTGTCATCATAGATTTACGATGTTGCCCGCTCAGAGACGTTTGGTGGCAAACAGTTTTATTGTTATTGTGACAAGTCATGTGACCGCGCAAAATCATGAGAGCCCGCGCTATTGACGAAAAATTTCCAGTTATATAACAAGTATCCTTATGTTATACGATACCATCGCCGCATGGCATTTTGGGAATAAAAGCGCCGAAAGTCTGCATACTAAATGTGTCGAAGAAAAGATTAGTTCTGTCTAAACGCTTATGAAGACAAAATGTGGCACTGAAATTTTTCCCACCCGTTGTTGTACTACGGGTGCCAGTAAGAACAAATGAATGACATTTTTGCTTTCTGTTTATATTGTTCTATGTGAACTGTTTTCGTCTTAAAGGTTTTTTTTCGATCGACAACTCGCTGTGACAGAAAACAGGGGAACCAAATTGACCTAGCCTGCCTAGCAGTGTTTAAACGGGGATGAGGGAAAGGGAGAGCGAGAGCGGAGATAGAAGGAGGGGGAGAGGACTGAGGAATGCGTACCTTCCCCTTCTCAGTTCCGCGCGTTTTTTGCCTCCCTGCCCCATCCCCGTTTATGCTTGCATCGCAGGCTAAATCGGCCGCGTTCACGAATAAGATCGATTTCTTATATAGCCCCTCCCAGGCCCTCATTTCAATAGTCCTTAGACAAAAAGGGATAAATATCTTAGCTTTGTATGCCGCATATGCCATGCATTAACAATTCAGTAAAATTATTGGATTTCAGTCTCGCGTGATTGCGTGTATTATAAACTAGATTCCTGGATTTCTTATCTCCCTTGGTTTTGGTTTCTCAATATCATGCAAAAACTGACTCATCATGATCCAGCATGGTAAAACAAGTCATATTCCGTTATGAAAGAAATAATGTATTTTTTTCCCTTTCTTAGATCACCCATTTCAACTTTGCTTGAAAGATCTTAGTGGAGATGTCATCGGTGAACTCAATGCAAGACTAGCTGGCGACGAAGACGCTAGGAGACATATTTTTGTATCATTTGGTATCAAACGCCCTTTTTACCGATTGATGAACATTTTTGAATTATTTCCCGACACTCCTGTGAAGTTATTTAAAGACGTTCTTGAGGCTTTACAGTTGTATGACCTTGTAGAATTGCTGGAGAAACCGGAGAAACCGCAACTTATCAGATCGCTACGACCCGCTCTTCCTTTACAAGAGATAGAGAAACTGAGGAAAACTACTGATCCTCGTCCCACAACCTATCATAGTAATGTTGCTGTTCTGATTATTACTGACAAAAAGAATTCTTATTCAGAAGGGATTGAGAGTTTTTTTAAAGGTCTCAGCTCAAAGAGCGATGTGACTGCACACTCGCAGGAATATTGGTCGGAGAGACTGGAGAAGGAAATGGAGACCAATGAGACAGCTGTGTCAGCGGTCATAGAGAGGTGGATACACAACCAAGGTTGGTGACAATGAAAATAAAATAATCTATGCTTTATATGAACGTGAACCTGACCTTGCCTCTAACGTAATTTCGTTATATTTGACTAGCATCAATATATTTACTCATTTTCCATTTCTTACTTTCCAAGATAAATCTGATCGTGTTTAGTTCTATGAACAAGGAGGGTGGAGTATAGGTGTAAAATGCTTAGTGGTTATAAAGTCTTAATATCCTAGGAAGTGTTGGAGAATAAACGAGCAAGAGTAGTACAGTCTGGGATTGGGATGGATTATCATTCTTAGGAATAAAATGAAAAGCAGATATTTGAGAAGGGCGAAGACGGAAACAACGATACCAATGTTCGTTTCAACGAAAACTTTCCAAGATTTTGCGCTAGCCTGGCGTGTTCCTCACTTTTTCGTAACATTTCTCACCGTGTCTGAAGAGCGTGGTGCCTTTGCAATCATTAACTCCCCATCTCCGGTTACTCACCTAACGTAATCAATAAGATCCTAAAAAAATGGCCGCTAATCTCCCTGTGTTGTTTTCTTTACATTTAGCACAGTGGTACGTTTGTAACAGTATTAAGAAAGACCGCTGATCTTTGTTGTTTTTGTACCATGTATCTTTAGGAAACTATTCATTGTTTGCTGTGGTTGTAGCCGCAAGGGTCATGAGCTATCGGTTTGCCGTTTTTATTGAAAAGGCAATAAAAAGACTGCTGTCCCGAATTCCAGACAAAATTAAATTTGTTATGGCGAGCCTAAACACAATCGATGTCCTAGAACCTTCAGAGAGCCTCGTGGTAATCACTCGTGGCGCATACACGAGCCGTGAACGTCTGATGCTGGATATTCTTAACAAGCGCTGGCAGACGCTGGACCTGATATCAATGATGGAAGAGTTTAAAAGGTGTGTGAATGGAATGCTTAACAGGCCTAAGTATCGACAAACATCGTCAAACCCACAGGATTCTAGAATGGTATCAGTATTGACAGACAGTTTGTCGTCTCGTCCAAGATTTAAAAAGAAGGGGATCTGACTGACAGTGCGTAAGTTAATTGTCTTGATAGTTCTATATCTCACACAGCTCCAAGTGATCTTGTTGGTGGAAATTTCCCGGTTTTCAAAATAAAAAAAACAAAACAAAACAAAAAAA